CCCCCACCGCTGCCTGCCCCCGCTGGTGCCTGCACCCGCTCTGCACAGAGGTGTTTTCATGGAGGCTGCACACCATTCTGTGTGTTTTAACCTGCCCCTGCCCACGCAGGTGACAGTAACGGGGACTGCAGCCACAGCGACAGAAGGGGACATGACACTCAACATAACGCAAGTGTGTTTTGTTAATGGCCAGACCAAGAAAGCTCAGGGCTTCTTAGAAACATGAGGTTGGCAGAGTCCTGCAGCCCTCCCTTAAGCAAGCACAGAAGAGATATCCAGTGCAGGAGAGGCCACAAAACCCTTCCCACACCCACTGACAGCACAGAACCACAGACCAGCAGACCCACTTCCCTGCTACAAGGCACAGAGACCCCAGGCATGATGGTGCCCAAAACCTGGAGGGCACTAGTAGCCCTGCAAGGTCTGACACCACAGCATTACGGACTGGGGGATCAAAAACCCACCTTGGGAGCAGGTTCCTCCTCCTATCAGGGGAACAGGTCACTGCTACTGCAAGAGAGTTGTGCTTCCTTCTTTCTTTCGCCTCTTCCCACTGGAGGGTCTCCAAGGTTGGGTCTCAGTCCCAAATCTGATGAAGCAGGACAGCTAAGAAGGAATCTGGGGTTGCTCCGTCTGGGGCAGACGTAGCAGGGTCTCCTGGGAAATTTCCATCACCACCTGAGCAGACATGCTGACAGCAACCATGCGCTGTACCAAGGTGCTACCAAGAGCCTGGTTTGAAGGCAAGAAGTTTGCCCAAGTGGGGAGAGGGGAAGGGTTTCATTTCAGGACTGCCCAAGTCCATCTGCAGGGCTGGGGATTAGAAAAGTCACATTTCCCTGAAGGACAGCAAAGAGAGAGGTGCTGAGAACCCTGTGGTCCCCAAGGACCCACCAGGACAAGTGTGTCACAAACAGTGTGGCACTCTAGAACACATCCCTGGGACATGGCAGCATGACGGCCATCGGTGAGTTACCTTTGCTGGAGGCTTCATCCCCTCCAAGCACACCCCGAAGGGGACAGAGGGGAAAAAGCAACATTAGGCTTCTGAAACATAGGTCCTCCCTGTGACACAGCTGTGCCTTCACACTAGTGGACATTTCCAAGGGCATCCACCCATCAGTAGGTTGATGCCAGCCCACCCCCTTGTGTCCATATCTTTCAGACACGAATAAAACTTCACAGGACAGTAGAAGGTGTTGGGCACTACTGGCACACTACCTAGATGTCCTGGGTGTATGGGGTGAGGGTCTGCAGCAACTGTCACACTACCCAGAGTCACAACCTGCCCTCAGCCTGATGGTGACTGCTAATTTGGGGGAATTTGCTACCGGAACCTGAGCAAGAAGACTCAGAGGGCACCAAGGCAGTGGGGCTGAAGCAGCAGCACCAGAGCACAGAGCACATTTCATCTCCATGATAGCGGGGTTATGCCTGCTGTCTGGGTAACGTGGAGGAGCACAGCTGGTTGTCCCCTTCAGCCACAGCACCTCCTTTCTCCCACCCCACGGATGCCACCACATCAGTGCCCAGCCTCCATGAACCATGTATCTTTGCTATTTAGGAAGCTGCCATTCAAACTTTCCAGCTCCTGCATGCAGCTGAACCTGGTGCTTTACAATTACCCTATGCCACCCACCCAGAGCACATGGGTGCGCTGGGACCCAAATTCCATGGACTGTCCCAGGTCCTAATCCTCCTGTGTGTGCACAGTTCGAGCCCATACTGCACATTCCCTAGAGCTGTTCTGGTCCAGCCTCTCAAAACTCATCTTTTGGTTCACATTTACATCACACTTGGCAATGCAAAGCCAGGTAACTTTCTCTTCTCCCCCTTGTAGCAACCATAGCCTCCACGGACATGGGGCTTCTGCTGAGAGATGATGTTTTTGTCGACTTTTTCAACACGTTTCTGAATCTTCCCGTAAGTCCACTCCACACCATAAAGCCCAGGACCTTTCTGAGCTCTTTTCAGGTGAACTTTCAGCTTCTGTGGTGTTAGAGGCCCCAGGAAAATTTGGAATACACTACACTCAGGCTAGAAAATGAGGGAAACTTGAGGACCTCAGCTTGGAGGTAGAGGTCTGAAAGGAAAGACTATGACTTTTTCCATAGTGAGGACTAACAAGAGCAGCTGGACTCTGGGCTCCCCTGCCACCCTCCATCCCTTTCAGCTCTCCCCTTCCCTTTTGATACAGGTTTTTGGCCAGACACCCGTTTACATCAGCAGCACGGGCCAGTGGGACCTCTGGCCAGAGCTGCCGAGCCTCCTGGTGAGAAAACACCCCTTGCAAGGAGGGTGAGGAGGGAGGAAGAGCACAGGGCAGGGGAGGGAAGGAGACGGTTTCTCATTGCCAAGGCCACTCTCTGGATCTCCTATTTGTGCAGCTGGGGGATTATTTCAAACCAGGCATCATTTTGCTTTTGAGCCCTGGAAGAAGCACAAGCCATTTAAAGTCCTGGTGCGTGGGCAGCTTATGGGGTCCATCCAGCACTCAGTAAACATCGATAGCTGGAGTTAAGGAGAACATGTGTGGTGGCAGGGAAGGAGGACACGAATGTCAGCCCCTTGTGTCCTGTATTCCTCCTGAATTCCCCAGGAGCCAAGGTCCTGTCGATCCTGAAACTGACTCAGCCCTCCCCACGGACATCCCCCTTCCCCACAGCCACAAGTGCCGTTTGCAGTGCTCAGATCCCATAGCAAAAGGGAACCTGCTCCTCTCGGTGCTGCTGCTGCTGTGCCTTCCTGCCTGGGCTCCGGGAAAGCAGGCAGGCTGCAAGGAGAGGCAGCCTTGCAGGCAGGCACGCAGTGCCAGGTCTCCCAGTTTTGTAGGCAGAGCTCATGGGGATGCGGGCAGGGGCTACAGCTCGAGTATCCCCCTTCTTTCTCAGCACGGGGATGGTTTGCATCACCGTCTAGCAACTGGGTGCCTTCCCCTGCCTCCTTCCCCCATAGCAGGGGCCCGTTACTCACCCTAATCCCCAGGCAAGAGACGGCTCCTCGCTCACAGCCTAATCCTCTCCTTGGGCGCGGGGTGTGCAACACAGGATCCCAGCCCCACGGCTTTACTGGCTTGGCTGGAGAAGCACCGCCTGCCTCACTTCTGCAAATCCAGCCTGTGCCTCCACCTCATCCTCTGCCAGAAGCTCCTGGGTTTCATTCGGTCGGGGGAAGCAGGTGAGTCATCACGGCACGGAGGAAATCGGAACGGCTTTGCCGCTGCAGCAGGGCTTCCTCTCGCTGGGGGTGTCACCTCCTGGTGCTTGCCCAGCGGGTCATGCCTCTGCTCCATGTTAAAAAGACACTGGACGTCCCATTTTTAGGGATGCAGCAGATCCCAGGGTTTCCGTAGGATGAGCAGGGCTTTACCTGACAGCCTTGTTAGTACAGGCTCACAGCCTCTGTGGAGTTTAGCTGAAATAGCTGCTTAGCAGGGTTTACCGTGCGGTGTGTGGGTGGAGTGGAGCTGGAGAGCATCCTTGGGCATGGGAACCTCAGGTCCTGGCATTTCAGGTTTGCTGCTATGCAGGGTACCCTGAGCTCTCGCACTGTATTGCGATATGCTCTTCGTCTGATGCATCCTACACTGGGAAAACAGGCCTATGCCGTGTGGTCTGTCCTACCAGCAGGAAGTCTGAATTGTGCTCAGTTTACCCCTAAAGTGAGCCATCTCAGCCCAGCTAACTGCTTTGTCAGCCTGCATGTCAATGCAAGGTAAGGCCACTGGAAAGAAAGCTATGGCTGTGGGGATGCAGATTTTAATTTCACAAAAAATAAGCAATTAATTGAGGCTTGCTCCCATACCATTTCTGAATGCATTGCTGCTCTTCTTCAGTCGGGTTTAACCTCAAGCTGAAGGAGGTTGAGGGCAAGCCCAAATGCAGGCAAAAAAGATGGACATTTGTAAGGGGAAGAGGCACAATTAGCTGGGCAGACTATCACCAACATGAGTGGCTTGTACTGCATCCTTGCAAACCCCACACGTGCATCCTGCAGTCCTGTCCAAAACTTCCATTTCAGTGTGATTTGCTGCTCTCCTGGCTCACAGCACTGTTGCCCTCTGCCAGCCTGTGTCAGGGAGGCTGGGGGGATGCTAGTGGGGTCTGGAGGGCTTTCTTGGGGGCTGCTCCTGCATGCACCCCCCAACACCGTGTTCTGCACTCTCTCTGACAGCAAAACTGCTGAACTGGCAAAGTGCTGACCAATGGCTGCTGGAGAAGTGCATCAGTGGGAGCCAGGGCATGTGGCACTTTCTGGCCTTTGTCCAAGGAATGCCAGGTGGGCATGGGGCTCTCCGCAGCCCCTTCTCAGCCAGCCGTGGGCCAGCTGCCCCACGGGACACCAGCACAGAGCTGAGGGCACAGGTAAGCACCAGTGGGACAGGAGATGCTGCAATCCCAGACACGGCTTTGGAAGATGAGCCAGCAGCAGAGCCCCAGTGTGGGTGCTGGATGCTGGGGAGATGCATAGCCCTGGCTCTTCTCTACACTGTCCCCTTGGTTCCTCCAGGTGATCTTTCCTTCTTTCTTTTTTAAAAAACACAGGCTGCTTTGCTCATCAGTGGGGCTTTCAGGGACTCCCTCCAACTCCCATCCCTTCTCTGATCTGTAGGGGAAGAACTGACCAATTTCTGGCTCACCACCGAAAGGCTCCTGGGGCTTGACGAGTCAGATGCGAGGCAGAGGGACCTCTACCTGTCCTTGCTCCACAGGCTGAAAGCCACTCACCTGCGTGAAGGCTCCAGCGTCATCACTCTCTGCAGGACCATCACTGGTAAGAAACATGGGAGCCAGGGATGAACAGTGCACTTCCAGCGAGGTGGGCTTTCCTGGATGCTCCCAGGAAAATGGGATACCATCACCAGCTTTGCTTGGCTGGGGAACTGCCCTGGCAGGCACAAACAGGTCTGGGTGGAGCCAGCCTCCCCATCATAATCCCCTGCACCCATTTCAGGGTTGCTGCCGAAAGCCAGGCACGTTCAGCCCATCAGCACCAGGAGAGAGATCCTAAGCAAGATGCAGGAACGAGTCCTTTTTATGATTCAGAGTTACTGGCTCCCTAAATTCTTCATCCACTGCAAGATGGGCATGGAGGAAGAGAACTCATGCCAGCCTCTGCTGCAGGAATATCGGGAGCGTTTATTACAGGCCAATTCACAGGAGCCCTCAGGCTTTTCGGAGAATCTCTTCACAATGTATATTAAAAGGAGCCAGGGATTGTCAGGGCCTTACTGCAGCAAGAAGGCCAAAGCGGAGATCTGGACTCTGATCAAGGGGGGAAGAGACACCCAAGAAATGAAGATGCCCAGTTTTCATGTGCAACCAGAAAGGAAGCTGGGGCCAGCTTGGAGCACAAAGGAATCACATCTGGATAAGGATGCTTTGGGATCGATTCCTCAGCAGTCAGAGCATCCTGCAAATACTGCCTTTGGAGGCAAAGGAAGACTAACCTCTCCCAAAAGCCCTAGACCCAATGCAGAGCAGGTCCTTCATCTAGGAGACCTCTGTGAAGAGAAAGTCCCCTTTAACCTGCATGCCTCTGCACCCCTTGTCCAGCTGCCATCCCTGAAAAAGCCAGTCAAGACCTTGAGTTTCCTTCCCTGGGCCCTTAGCGCTGAGACCTGCGCGGGACGGCCCTTCAGAGACTTCTTGAAGCGCCAGGACCGGTCCATGGAGACTCATCTCCTGGACCTGTGGCATGACCTGGAGGAATTTCTGCCTGTGGCGCTGGACTCCAGCAGAGAAAACAGTTTCTTCCTGCGTCATTTGATTGGGGAGAAGATATGCAAGACCTACCTGGAGGAAGGCACCACTTGGCAGCTTCCCTTGGAGACCAGGACTCTCAGGAGCTTGCAGAACCATCTGATGTCTGGAGAATTCTCCCCCTGGATATTCAGAGCCCAGAAGGAGATTTGCAAGGTACAGAGTGGTGCTGGCAGTGGTCAGGCTGGGAGGTACAGCTGGCATTGGCACCCCTGGGCTGGTGTGAGGGCTGTGGGCATGTTTAAGAGGTGTTTGGAAAATGAAGATGAAAAGAGATTAGGAAGGGAAAAACTTACAGTGACAAGCCACCTTGCACTGGAACCAGTGACCAAGGTGCACCAGGCCAGTGGAGAGGAGCATCCTGACTGGTTTGCTGGGCAGTGGAGCAGAGATGAGCAGTCATTTAGCAGCTGGTGACCTCAGTTGTTAGATGCACATGCCAAGGGGCAGGGGATGGCAGGGCAGGGGCCATCCTTTTGCATCTGAGTCGCTGGTTCCAGCACAACACGAGTAGAACACATTTACAACCCGAGCCTTTCTGGGCAGTCTCTGAGCAGCCCAAGGGACCAACCTGTGTGTACAGCTCCTGGCAGAGCTGTCCTGGGCATCTCAGCAAGGTGTAACCTGCCCACGGCATCACCACTGTGACCTCAGGGTACAGTGGGGCTGGGGGGTGGCAGCTGCTGCTGGAGTACTGACTGAGGACAACCCACCTTTGCTCCTTCTCAGGTGCTCTGCTGCTTCTACGAGGAGTTTCTGGCTGACGATGACAGGACATTTCTCCAGTTTATGGTAAAGGGGATGCACAGGGGACATGGGCATCCTCGTGGAGCATGCAGGCACCAGTGGGAATGTGAAAAGTTGAAGAAAGGGAGGGAGGAGAAGCGAAGCATTAGCTGCAGTGGTCCAGCATCCCATGGTGTCCCCTGGCCAGTGCTGCCACAGAGCGATACAGCAGAGCCTGCCCTGCTCCAGCTGCCCAGAGCAATGACCCTCAGCTCAGATCTTCCATCACAGCATCCCATAAGTCAGCAGTACTGCAGGCACACCCTGCAAGAGCTCCCCTGAGATGGGCCATGACCCGGCCCAAAAGCAGGGAGAAATTTAAACGCAGGCTTTCGGGGTGGGGGAGGCAGTGAGACCAGCAGCAGGCAGTGCACTTTGTAACTGCTTCATGGTTGCCCACTTCTTGGGTTTAACTCTCCCCCTTTTTTCCTTGCCCACAGCAAATACTGCTATTAATGTGACTCATTTGCAGATACACATGCGTGTGTCCCTGTCCCAGCACAAGTGCCTGGCCACCATGCTGGGGGAAGAGGGCATGCAGCCTTTTAGCCTATGATTCAACAGTGCTCAAGTTTTCCATATTTTTTTTTCCACTATGTAAAGTAATGATTTAAGATAGCAGAGTCATACAAGCACTCATCTTCCCAGACTATTATCCCTCCTGGCAGCAGAAATTCCAGTAATACCTCATGTTTATCAACGCCCTAAATGCTAGGCCTTACACCAGGAAACCTCCTCATAGACTGAAACCCCCAAGCATCCCACCTGCAACCCTGCACAACCTATGCAGTCAATTTTGCTCACTGTAGACGGTGTTCTTCAAACCAACCATTAGGCTTTTCCCCAAACTTCAATGTAAAATCAGCAGCTGATCCTGGAAATGGAAAGGAGAGGCTGTCAGGGCTAGTGCCCCCAAAGACCTGGCTCACAGAGATGCCAGCGTCTCAGTCAGCAAGAGCTGAGCGTTTTGGAAGAGTCAGCTGGCAGCTCCTGACCCTGATTCATTAAATGCTCTTGGTTGTAAGTTAATTAGCTGCCCAGGTTTTTAAGCATCTTTTGTCAAGGAAATTACCTTCAGAACGCAGACCTGGTCTGGGAGTGCAATTAGCACATTAGTCAAGGCCGTGCTCTCTGCAGGCACCATCCCCTAAGTGAAACTCCTTCCAGGTCTCACTGCACTGATGTCAGGGGATTAGCAGGGTTATTTTTGGTGCTTGCTCTCAGCGGCTTTTATCTCTGTCTGAAACCAGCCACTCTGACCCTGCTGCTTGGTGAGTTGTGCAAACTGCTCGCTGGTGAGGAGAGCCAAAACCTGCAGAAGGGTCTCAGTGGGGGGCAAGGGAGGCACGCCTGGGGCACTGGCCAGAGCCAGTCCCAGGGATAGCAGTCAACCAAAAAGGCACACAAGGTTACCTGTCTGACGGGGACACCTCCAGGGTTGTTTTCAGCTCTCCTGGGTGGATGTTGACCTCTTCAGGAAAGCTGCTGACTTTGCTGGCAAGCCATTGTCTGGACTGCCTGGGGGACCTGCTGCATGTCCCCAGTATGTCCCAGCTGCAGGCAGGTGTGAGCCAGCTTTAAGCAGCTGCACAGGTAGGTTTAAGGTCTATGCTGAGCTTCGTGCTCACGTAGATTTCTTCCAGACAGTTTAAAGCTAAAGCAGAGATCTAACTTGGGTAGGTTTGTACTCTAAAGCACAGTAAAACGTGCAAGTAGCCTGTTGGACACTGTGCAGGAGCAGTTCCTCAGATGGAGTATGTGCTCTGTGCAATCACCCTCTGCTCTTCTCCCTGTAGTCTCCACAGAGAGATGTCCCGATGACCAAGATGCAAGGCCACGCTGTTGGGAAAGATGAATGTTTCCTCCTGTCCCAGCGGATACACCAGTCCTTGAAGCTGAGCCAGGCTTTGCATGGCACGAGGAACTTGGAAGGTCTCTCCTCCAAGCACTTGCGATTAATTGCCACTCGGGACCTCCAGAAAAGGGGGTCCATCCAGGCAGAGGTGGAACCTCTCCTGTGCAGCAATGGTAAGAGGAGGCTCTGAATTTCTGCTGTGGCACATGCTCGCTGAGGTTGATAAAGCATATTTTGTGCACCTTTGGTGACCAATGACCCTAGCACACAGATGCATTGCTGTATTGCTAACAGGGCATGGACACCATGGAGTGGGTTGGGACAGGGTATCTGGGAGCCATCAGCTCTAATCCAAACTTTGACAGTGACCTATGGGCCAAATTCCCTCCTGCCAGTACCAGAGGCACCAAATGCCATATCCCTGCACTGGCCTGGGTCACCAGATCAAATGGAGGCTGCAGCAAAGTGACTGAAACCCAAAGCCAGTGACAGGCACTGTCACCCCACTTCCACATCTTGACCTTCTCCTGTGGATGCTGGGACTGGCCATGCTGGTGTGACACCTCAGCTTCGTCTTCTCACATCATCTTTCAAGAATTACATCAAGTTTCTGGGCACCTGCCAGTGCAATGAGAGTGAGAGCAGTCACCTGTAGCAACCCTTAGGTAGCTTGTGGGGCCTCGGTCATACCTGAGAAATGCCGTGTCATGGGTACATCATGGGAACAGGTCACACAAGGGGAAAGGAAAGGTGAGTAACAATCACAATACAGCACTCAGAGCAAGTGCTGAAGGGCTGTCATAGCCAGAAGGAATGAACACTGGATCTGTCCCCTCTTCTCTATCTGATGCAGACTCCCAGAGGATTATGTCAAAGGAGCTGGCTGTTCCGAAACCCTCACTGGCTGTGGATAGTCCAAGCAAGGAAAATGAGCTTCTGTGTCTCAAAAGCCCATCACTTGGTGAGTCCAGTCTGAGCAGGCTAGAGGCAGGGTGGGCTCCCAACCATCACGCCCTTGCAGGTGCTCCTGCATACCCTTAGTGGACTGGACAAGCAGAGGTCTTCCCTGCTTGCATCCCATCATCTGGTAGAACATCTCCAGAAGGAGAGGCTTAGCCACCCCTGAAAGGCATGTGTTTTGGGGTGTTAATCCAGCCAGAGAGGGTGGGAGTGGGAGGGCTTCTCTCTGAAGTGGATGCCAAGGAGGTCAAACCATGCGGAGGTGAAAAGTTGCCGCAGCACCCAGTGTCTCCTGAGCAAGGCTCACCATGCAGACATGAGCATGGTGGCTCTGGGGTCCTTTGCCCTATGGACATCCGTAAGCAGTCTCTGGCTGTCACCTGAGGAAGGGGCCAACCCTTTTCTGTCCCCACAGCTGTTGAACCCGAGAACAGAAAGAAGACTGTTCCTCTGAGAAAAACCAAATCAAGTGCAATGAAGTCCACCACTGTTGCAGTAGAGAAGCCATCTGGAAGACCCAGGTCTGGCACCTTGCAGCACAGGACTTTGCTGGGTTTTGCTGCTTCCACTCTTTCAGGAAGCAGATTTTTCCCAGTGCTTTCCTGTTGTGCCACTGCTCCTTGCTTCATCATTGGGCTCTCTCAGATGTAGGCATTGGTGGCCTGTGGGTCTGAACTGTAGAGCTACCAGGGAAAGGAGAAAAATGTTTTAACACCACCAGCCTCGTAGTTCAGATTTACTCCTCACATCTTGTGCATGTCTCATGCACTTCACCCTCAATCACTCCCTGGCATGCCACCTGTGCTACACCTGGGAAGCTCTCAGATTCCCAGAAAAATCATTTAAAATCACCCTGTGACCACACTTAAATCTCTGTACTCGTTGACTGTGTGAATGTCCATGTGGCTCATGTCTCACCTCCTGGGAATACTCCAGAGATGAGTCCTCACAGCTCCACATTGGGATATAAGTGGTAACCAGGACGCAAATCCTGAGTAGGAGCAGCTTTTATTGTTTATTGTGAAAGTCAGTCTCAGGAGCCACACTTAAACAAAGAAAATATTTGACCCAGTCCACCAATCTTCAAATAAGGGCTTGCTAACCTCATAAATATCCCAGTCCACTCCCAGCTCTGGTTTTCCAAAGCTCTGCTGAATCTTTTCCATGTAGCTGTCCTCTGGCTTTACATTTATCAATAATCTCCTGATCTGCCAGTTGCAAGTGGCAAGGGTTTTCCGCTCCAGAACGCCCTCTCCATGGCCAAATGCATGAAGTCATCTGCCATCCAGTGGCAAATTGTTTATTCTCAGCAAGTGCCAGAGGGGAACACAACCTCCTCCTCCCACTAGTCCTTCCAGGTGCCTCATTCTTACCTGCCTCCCTCCCCTGGTCTCTGCAGGGCTGCCCAGTCCATTTGCAGGTTCTGAGGTCTCCATCACAGGCCCAAAGCCCTGCCTTCTCCTTAACTCCCTGGGTGAAGCCTCCTCTTCAGGCTGAGACCACTTCCTTTGGATACCTGGCAGCAAAGCTGTTGGGCAGGTGCATCTATGGCAGAAAAGAAACAGCTTGTCAGAAGAATCTCCCCCTGGATTCCCAATGGCTCAGTGGATGATGATCTTAAAGGTCTTTTTCAACCTAAATGATTCTATGGGCAAGACAGACAAAGTAGGCTGTGCTCCACCAGTACCTTTACTGGCCCATCTGCTTCACAGATCCCACGCACCACTCGTCCACATGTTTCTAGCTCTTCTTCAGATGTCTCTATCTTGCTGAAGAAGCAAGCACTGAGGTCCTGGCTATTTTCCAGGTCACTGGTGGCACAGAGATCACATCTCCTGGTGTCTCCTCCTCTACAGGCACTTCATGACAGTACTGCACAACCCTGCCCACCTGCAGTTCTTCAAGCAGTTCCTTGAGGAGCGCAATGCAGATGAACCACTGCGTTTCTGGATGGCTGTGGAGAAGCTAGTTGCAGAGACCAACCCCAAGACAAAGAGGTTCCTCATTAACAGCATTGTCAGAAATCATTTCCGTGCTGAAATCCCAGCTGGTAGGCACCTTCCCACCCTGCACTTCACTCCATTCATGATTAAAGCCTCTTTTCCCTGAGCTGGATTCCGGTTGCAGATTTTATATCCTCTTGCAGGGACCTGCCAACTCTCCTTTCCCATCCAGCAGAGCATTTATTTGCTGAGGCCTTCCACTGCCACTTGTATTTCTAGAAAGGTGGTCTACTTCTTTGGCAGGATCTACTGACCAAGACCTGCAACACACAATTACTGCTGTGGCAGGAATAGCGCTTCCCCATCTTGTCTCCTTCCGATGTTCTTGGAGTCACAGCTTCACTCCCAAAGTATGCAGTTAGCACAGTACAGAAAGGAAAAGTGATGAGACAACCAAATTCAGCAAACAGCAGACAGAGATGCGACAGGGTGCCACTTGCAGATGTGAGGGTAGGAAGAGATGTCATGGTGGCTCGGGGGTGGTTGGCAGGTGGAGGCAATGATGGCACTTCTCTTCCAGAGGAGCAGCTGGACTGCCACACTTCTATCATCAGAGAAATAAATGAGGCCGAAGTAGTCAGCCCCTTCATGTTGATGACAGCACAGATCTTCATCCAGAAAGCAATGGAAAAACGATGGTGAGGACCTGGGTTGAGCTGGTTCCTAAGCCCAGTGGTTACACAAACACATCCTTCCCATGGGAACCCCAAGGTGACAGACAGCAACTGCTACAAGCGTATTTCCCTATGAACTATCAGCCAGTGCATCAAAATCCCAGCCAGACCCTCACCCCAGCAAAACTGCTGTTGCAGCTGCTGATGCATTTGCCTGTGCAAGGCCAGCAGGGCTTGTCCCATGGGGACCAAATCACTGTTGGGCTTGCAGAGTGCTGGACTCGAGGAGGAAACACGCTGCAGGTAAGCAGGGTGGACACTCCCACAAGCCTGCTACATGCAAGAACAGAGCCCAAGGGAGGGGATCTAGTCCCCCGTTCCTTTCTCCAGCCTCCTCCAGGAAAGGAAGTCCTGTGGGACCCCAGCGCCAGGGCTATACCTGTCAGCTGCTCCCCCTACTTAGCCACCCTCCCACCAAACCACTGCCCTCCTCATGCATGTGGCTGCCCTTGATGTTCTCTCTCTCTCTCTCTCTCTGATCTCCCATTTGGCAGGTTTAAAGAGTACCAGGACCTGTTCCCGCCAAGTGATACACATAGGTCTAACCTTCGTTTGCAGCATGGGATTGGTAACTTCATGACAGATAAGCTGGTAAGGAAAGACCCTCTCTGCTGGCAGGCTGAGGATGTTGTCCAGGCAAGAAAGAGAGAAGATGCTGTGGGTCAAGCAGTGCTCATATGAATGGAGTGAGAGAGTCAGACTTGGAGGGTTGCAAAAAGGCAGTTGATAGGTAAAGCCTCACTTCTACAGGCTCTGGAGTCCTGCTCCATGCAGACTCCACCAGATTTAGTCAGGACTGGTGAAGTGATTCACACTATCACCTACAGCCACCAGTGAAACCCAGAAATATCAGAAAGCAAAGATGATCGCTGGGTCACAAATCCCACTGCCAAGGCTGGGCTCTGGTGCTCCAGCTCACAGCGGTGGGTCCAAATGGGAGGGCAGTGTCTGGGAGCAAGCCCTATCACTGCAGCCAGGGGCTGTCTCCCCAGGGCTGTACCGCTGGCTGACACACACTGTGCCGTGTCTCTGCAGCAGTGGGCCTGGTATGCCATTCACGACATCATCAAGAGCATCTGCAAGTTCCGGAGGGAGATGGACAATGACAAACACCGTGCAGAGTTTGAGGACTTTCTCCGGCAGGAACTACGAAACGAGGAGGAAAGTATGGCTAGACTCCTGCCACCCCCTCTTCCTTCCTTCCCAAGACAGTCCTGGGTTTAGGCAGAGAAGTAAATAGAGGAAACCCATGGCTCATCTCCCGTCCCCATATGCTGACTTAGTTTTCTCTGCTGGAGGCATGTAAAGAGCCAGAAGAGCAGGTGTCTCAGGATACCAGATATTGCTGTGCCCAAGTCTGCACACTTAGGCACTGGAGTTGGGAGATGAGGTCCAAAATTTTGCACAGTCGACACGCATACACACATATTCATGCAATATCTGGTTTTCTGATGCAGGTGCTCCATGATGCTGCTGCATCTCTCTCAAGCAATAATGTATATGCAAGTTTGTATCCCTTCGGCAAAAGACAGGAGGCAGTAAATGAAGCTAAGGTGACACAGGCCAAAAATAAACAAACGGAGATGGCTTTCCATGCAACAGGGAGATGAACTACAGAGTGCTTTGCCAAAGGATGTAGATCCTGAAAGTTTACACACGTTTGAGAGGAGGCTGGAAAAGCTGATAGAAAAGAAATCCACTGAAATTCCTTAATACACAGAAAGTCCATCTAGATCAAGAAGTCCCTGGAAATGAAAATGTTTGGAACCTGGAGAATATTGTATATGGGGGAGGTAACACACATGTTTTACCTTTCCTTCTCACTAGTTATCTGCTTCTGGCCTCTGTCAGAGACAGGACAACAGTGATGCAGACAGGCAGACTTTTGATCTAATGTACTGTGCCATCCCCTATGAAAACAACGAACATAAGCACTCTGTGGGTGCAAAGAGGAGGATGGATGGAGGGGGTTACTAAGCTAGGAGGAAGGCTGCAGACTGGATGGGTCTGAATTCCTTGGAGAGCCTGGCTGCAGTCCACCTAGGTAGAAAGACCCTCAGCAAATTACTTGCATGCAGGAAAAGCAAGCACAGGCGAGGTGAAGGAGCAGGGTATAGCTCAGCATCAGATGCCCAGCTGGCCTCAAACCCAGTGCTGGGAGAAGCAGGACAGAACAGCTCTTTCCCTCTCTCAGACTTGCCCATCAGATCAACGCAAAGCAGCAGCACAGTGAGCAGTTTCCGCTCCCACATGACCTCTGCCAGCACCTCAATGGACAAGGAGATGGTACTAGTGAAACGCCACCTGTTTAACCACCAGCTCATTACCATCAACTTCCTCGTTGACGACCTCCACTTTTATCTGGAGATCGACAAGTAAGTTCCCTTTCCACACCTCATGATTTGCTTTTTCTGACCCAATAAATACGGAGCTAAGACAGACCATGACTGTCTAGCCTAGCAGTCAGAGCACTTGTCTCAGAGCAAGCCCCCACATGCCTTTGCAGGTTTTCCAGGCTGGCTGATTCAGTTGAAGCTCTGGCAGCCCGCAACATGCGGCCAGAAAAGGAAGTTGCCTTTCTAAAAAGGAAAGTTGCCATCATCAGCAAACTCTTTCTGAACTCCGATATTCCCCCCAAATTGCGGGTAAGATGCTGGGACCCACCCAGGAAGGCTGAAGGTTGCTGTCTGCTCATTGCTCAAGACCATTGCATCGCAGCTGCGAGCGGTTGTGGGGAAAGGGGAACCAGGCAGAGGTTTGGATCTGCTCCAGGCAAGCATGCTGTAAAGCTTCAGAGCATGCTCTGGAGCTTGGGACCTACACTTGGGCTCCATGGGTTGGAAACTGATCCACCACCAGACCCATGCTACCACTTGACACACAGGGATTGAGAACAAGTGCATGGACAAGGAGATGGTGAAATCCCCTACCTGCTGGAGAAATGACAGGGCTGAAGCACCAGGATGGATGCTGCACTCCACCAATTCAGTCCTTTCAGTCTCCAGAGGTCAATGTCACCACCATCACTGCATGCACCCCTTCTATAGTAGCCATGGCTCTGCCTGTCTTCCCTTTGGAAAGCACAGCACAGTGCTTTCCACAGAAATCCAGGGGAGATGCCACACTTGGCTCTGGGACAGTCAGCCAGGATGTAACTAGTGTCTCTTCCTAGAGACTGCTGAAATGCAAGGTGGGGTCAGGGAGAGAAACATGCCTCTAGGGCCCACCAGGAGTGCCACAAACTGCTTTGGGTAACCAAGGTCTCTTCTGCGGCCAGGTAAACATCTCTGAAGAAGAGAGAGATTTAATCTGGAGTTTATCTTCCAAGGGTCTACTGAACCGTGTCCTCTACCACAGGGCCAAGGTCATCATCTTCCCCATCCTGATGCACTTCTGGAGAAGGTACCTATCCCCTCTGTCCCAGGGTGGCAGAGGCTCTGTGGATGCCAACCTCTTTCTCCAGCCACCTGTTCCTTTGACATAATGAAAATGCAGATGAGACACTCCCCAGGAGCTCAGCTGTAGATGTCTGCTTGGAGGTTTGCTGTCTTCAGTATTTCTCATACAGGTTCTGCACCTGGAAGGTGATGAGGAGCTTTCAGGTCTCTGCAAAGGACAAGGTGCCAATCTCTTTGCCCAATACAAAAGCCTCCTCCAAATCATCTGACGTCTACAATCCAAGTAAGCTGAGTGCTTGTCCCCCTGCTCCACATTTGTTCTCAGTCTTGTTCTTCCAATGCAGAGATGTCCAGACCTGGGTTTTTGGTGTCCCACAGGGTTCCCCTTAAAAATGCCAAACTCCTTCCTTCACACAGCTTTGAGGATATACGTGGTACAGGCCTACTGGAAACTGAAGCATCTTTGAAAACATTCCTTCCCCTCCAATTCAGTCAAAATCGCCCAGGTCGTTTTTAGACATTTCTTTGGGGAATAGGGAAGTGGGTGCAGAGATTCATGAGCAAAGATCTGTTGCATAACTCTTGTTTACTTCAAAAACCAAGTTAAAAATAGTCTCAACACACATTCTAAAACAGAAATAAAGCAACTAATCTTTTGGATTGCAAGTCACATGGGAGCAGGAAAAGGAGAACCACCATGCAGCCAAACACCAGGCTCAGTGGCATTACAGGGAGGATGCTTTGAACATCTGGAATGGAGAAAAAGTTTCATCAGGATTTGAGGTGACACTCACTAGGACATCCCTGGAGAAAGAGAAAGATTATTTTTTTCCCCTTCCTCACCCACTTGTTTAGTTTCAATACATGGAATAACTCTAAACTGAAAAACACAAAGTGGTGCTAAGTGCTGTCAGTCTGCCTGACAACCTGGCCTCCTGGCTGAATATTCATTTGGTAATTGTCTAATTGATTTTTGATTAAAGGAGAAACCAAAATAGGCACATACTAATCTTGCTTTGATGGTTGAGTGGGTGTCAGCAAGCCGATGTTCTGCTCCCTGTCATTTATCACTGTCAAGTTCTGGTTAAAAATCAGCAGTTACAAGATTTTGATACCTACAGGCAGGTGCTTGAGCTACTGCTCCGCAGCAGAGCTGTCATAACAACCCCCATGCTGGTGTGCTCCAAGACTGCCAAGCCATGCCTGTTAGCTCAAACAACCCCACACCTTGGGTATTCCCCTGAATAACATGCAACGTTCAGCTTGAGTCTCCACCTTGCTACAGAGCCTCACTGCACTTCTAGGGCCTTCTCAGACATAGCTGTTTTAATGCAAAAGCCCGTTGCCACCAGAAAAAACAAACCCATCACACGTGTATTCCCAGCTAGCAGTAAGCCAGAAGCATCATGTAACACAGCAGGTAGCTTCTGTGTAATCTGGGACAAAAACACATGTTTGCCAAGGTCTTCAGGAAACCGGTGGGGAAAGATGTTCAGTCAGTGCAAACTGTTGCAAGGGTTAGGACAATCCCACCGCTGCCCAAGCAGTACAGCCCATATTTAACTACACAGAGCCTCAGAGAGTGAGTGCGCTGAGATGCTGCTCTGGAGAGACAGCTGGGGAATGTGTTGAAACGACTGTGCTCTTTCTCACATGGGCATTAATCCTGCCGTGAATGTCCCTGGGACAACTCTCATCGCCAAGCCACAGTTCCTTGCAGCACCTTGCAGGGACGAATAACCAGAACCAGGCAGATAAAATCCCTCAGCTCCAGCCATGTGTCATGGGAAGAAGGGATGTGTGGTGTCTCAAAACTGTCTCATTTCTCCTGCCCTAGCCTGCGTGGCTGGCACATTCAGCCTGGTTGAATAGGAAGGGCAGATGCTGTCACGCCTTGGTAGGGCAGAGCTGTACCTGTGGGGTGCGGTGCAGGCTGGCTCCTGCTCTGCATTGCCTGCCAACCTGCAGGTAGCCCTCCCTGCAGCACCCTGACTGTCAGAAAGGAGCAAACCAAATTAGCATGCAACCCCAAAATAGCTGCTGTTTCTGACTGCGCTAATGCCCATGACACCTTTTGCTTGTGACGCTTTTCTGCACCTTATCACACTTTCACAGATGACCTTATCTGAGGATCTTGCTTTTCTGACTTTTAGATAAAAAGCTTGCTTTTCAGCTGGCAAAAAATTGGTTCTGTTGCCTTTAAAAGGCACTAAAATTGCTAGTAATTCCAGAGAAAACCTCCTATTGTCCATGTCTCGCTTTTCTCTTATCTTGAGAGTTGCTGCTTTGCACAGAAGTGGTGCGTGCACAGCTGGGGAAGGTGCCGGACATGACTCCATCTCCCATCACCAGGCGTCACTGTGGCACCGTCTGTGCCTTTACACAGAGCGGAGGGGCCGGTCTTGCTGAGACTGGACGTACTGCCTGCACCCCACTTCATAGGCATGAGCACGGAGCTCCTCTTGGAAGAAGCCACCACTGCTGGCACAAAGCTGAGAGCACATCTGTGCGTAGGGGCAGCTGTGCACACATGTCCCCCTGTCTCTCCAAATGCCATTTCCTTGCAAGCATCCTGTCTGCCACCCAGGACCCTCCGAGCCTGCCACAGAGCCAGGGTGGGACACGTCACCCCTGCCCTGCAGCCCCCAAACAGCTGTGCAGTCAAGGAGATCTGGGTAACTCATGTCCTTGCTCAACCACCCTTCCTTCACCTCTGTACAAGCCCCATGGGACTCAAAGGGGATAACACATCCTGCTGTCCTCCCTCATTTGCTATCAGAGCACTTGGCACACAGTACTGCTTCATCTCTTCTCGTCACCAGGCAATCACACCATCATTGTCTTCACGCTCCTGAAAGGGGTCCAGATCCTGCTGCCACAGCCCCAGAAGAAAATGGAGCCATTGGAGGAGCAAAAAGGTGAGCCAGGGCTGAAAGGAGTGCTCCTGCTCTCAAGGGGAGCTCTGGCTGCCAGGACGGGAGCTGGGCTTTAGGGCTTCCTGCATGATAGGAAGTTTGTGCATATTGTTTTTCTCAGATTCAGCTAGAAGTCTTGAAAAAAGGCTCTCGTTCAGCAAGTCTGCCTCCTGTCCTACAGAACAGGTAGGTGGTTGCAGAGGCAGTCTACCTCCCACAAACCACACCAGCACAAGCACATGAAGCAGCAGAGCTACGACTCCCCTTAAAACCCAAAGGCCAACTGGGTGGGTGTGTGCAGGATGCTGGTCACCCCCACAATCTGCAGTAACATTCACAGAAAACCCCCACCTCTCTGTGCCCTCAACACCCCCCTGCCACGGGAGCACACAGCAGTGCTGTTCATCCCTGATCACTCACGACCTACCTCCATCAGCAGTGGCCACTGACGCAACATCTCTCCCTTCCCTGCAGGCACTGAGGGAAGGAGAGACCTCCGAGGAAGAACAGACCTCCCACCCTACCATCCACACCAAGCAGGACAGGGGCGTGCTCCAAGAAAGCTGATCAGCCTGAACACACTGCATAGTTTGCACTTAATCAGCAATAAGACCTAAAAATAAAGCAACAACATTTAGACTGGATATAAGGAAGAAATTTTTTATAATGAGGGTGGTGAAGCACTGGAACAAGTTGCCCAGAGAGGTAGTGCAGGCCCCATCCCTAGAAACATTCAAGGTCAGGTTGGACAGGGCTCTGAGCAACCTCATCTAGTTAAGGATGTCCCTGCTCCCTCCAGGGCAGTTGGGCTAGATGACCTCTAAAGGTCCCTTCCAACCCAAAGAATTCTATGATTCTAACTCACAGCATCCTCAAGCCTGCCTGGTAACACAGCACAGCAGCTTGCATCTCTGTGACCATGGCAGGGACATGCCACAACACATTTCCACCCAAGGAGATACCCTTGTCCACACCACAGTCTCTTTCCTCACATGTATCTGTAGAAGACTGCATTGCCCATACTGGGACCCAGTAACAGTGTAAATAAATCACACTGGGTGCACAGCACAACACCTTTGGGGTCTTTTTACAAGACATATAGAAGGTGCTTAAAGCCAGAAAGCAGTCACAGCAAATACTTTGCCTGAAGATGGGGGCCCTCAAAGACCACCGGTCCCCAGAGCCCTGCTGCACACAGAGCTGTGCTTCTCACTGAGGACCAGGATTGCTTTTCTCTGCTCAGCACACCTTACAGCCTTGTCTCAGCTCCTTGCCCCTCCCTGTGCTTTCCCCACAAACTAAATACCTCCAGTGGGTGACAAGGCTAAGAGAGCCCACCTGGTTTACTACTCAGCTGTCCCTGTGTGGTAAGATGGTGCCTGTCTTGCCAGACCCTTTCTGATTTTCCAATCAAAATCCGCTTATGTCTGACTCGGGACCTTGGCATGTTTTTTTAAAAGCCAGTACATTTACAAAGCACTAACCAAATCACATCAGAGACCTTAATTTTTCCCAGGTGAAACTGAGTCAGAGTGGCTTTGCCAAGTTACCAGGAAGCTGCAGAAATCCCACATGTTCTTTGGACCTCAGAAGAAAAGATCATGACCTTTTTCACACCTGGACCTCTATCACACCAAAGCTCCCTTGCAAGCTCTCAGCTTTGCAACTTCTGAGCTATTTTTAGCTACTTTTTAACCCTCAAATCCTAGAAGACTGCATCCTGGGAATAACACAGCATCATTCAAGGCAGATGGCAATATGTTTCATATTTGTCAGTTATGGTTATCAGCGCTTTGCTTCTGGAGGATCAAAAAACCAAACAAACCCAAAGTCCAACAACATTTCTAGAAGTGAGGCATTTAGGAGTGGCATCACCTTCCTACAACCTGGACTGTGACCAACTTCTCAAAATTGCCCTTGTGCTGTAACTTGATTTTTCCCCAAAAGCTTTCAGCCCCAAAAGCTAGCTGCATTTTTGCATGCTTTGCACTAACGCTTCAGGCTCTGCAGCCTGAGCCCAGCTTAGCCTGGTCCCTAGAAGGCTTCGTGGATGTGCCTAAAGCTCATCACAGCAAAACCGCAGCTAAGAGCAATCTTCACTCCATTGCTTCTGCAGACTTTTTTTTTCCCAGTGCAGCAGACAAGACACATTGACCTGGGGCCATCCCTGTGCACACAGCATGTCCTCAGCACGCAAGTGACAGGATGGGGAGCGCCTGAACCCATCACATCAGGTTGAGCCACCTGCCCCTGGGGTCACTCAGCAGAAGCAGGGGAAAAAGGCAGAGGCACAGCAAGTGCACAACATACAGGCATGACAGCAGGGGAATGAAGTGTGCAGGGCCAAATCAGCATGCCCTTGGGCACCATGCATGGTCTGCAAGCCCGCCTGTTACAAGGCAATGGCAGGCAGCACCTCCCAGATGGGAGCCAGCAGCACATCAGGCAGCACTATCTCTGGCAGCTGCCTCTGCCCCCCGGCTCCCCAGGACACCTTTACCCCCAGGCTGCAAGATAAGGCACTGCCATACCACTCAGTTGCAATACTGTCCAGAGCTGTCCTTGCCACTGGTTTTCCATCCTGCCTGGCCTCTCTCGGGCACTCGTGCATCCCCCCTGATCCTGCGAGGAGGAGAGGCAGCCTGGTGTTTTCCCCAGCATTGGTCCCAGTACTGCATCTGCCCCCTCTTCCAGTGGCCTGATGCTCTGTGAGCAATAAGCCTTGCAGATGCCATGCATGGATCAAGTTTCTCCTCTGACACCAGCCTGCTGGCACCTCTGGCTTCTCCAAAGGCAGGACATGGTCCTGCAGACCACACCAGCCTTCCTTGGAAATTCTAGCAAAACAGCAGAGCAATGCAAGAAGACACGGAAGTCCAAGCAAGCTGGAAACATGATGTTTTTACAAGAGGCTGAAGGAGGCCAGCCCACAGCCTCACCTCTCCTCATGCAAGAGCAGAAATGTACCGCTTCAACAGAGCCACTATGGTCCCCACAGCACCCATGCTCTCCATGCTGCTGAGACCCAGACACACATGTCTGGGTGTCCTCCTGCTTTCTGGGCACCAGACAGACAGAGAACAAAAAGAAAAACAGCAGGGAGGAAAAAATAAAAGTATTGACACAAGAGGATTCAACATTCTCCTGATTGCATTTTCTCTAATGGCACCTCATCAACAGTTGCATAGTCAAGCTTTCTTTTTGTTATATTTACGTATTTTAAAAGGTTCCCAAGACCATCAGAAGGACCTTTGCTCTGAGCCAGGACCACTGGTGCAGGCTGGCACATGGACCTCATGAGCCACGAGCACATGCGTGGCAGTCTGCAACCCAGCTCATGCACAGCAGTGCCTGCTGGTTTGCAGGTACATACATCTGTAAGCACACACAGCTAAACACATGCGGGGGGCTCAAGGATGCATTCTGGGCAGCTGTTCATTTGTAGAGGAGATAGGTCAAACATATCCACTCCCAGAGTTTTACATGTATGCAAACACACACGTTTTGAGCATTGACGCTCATCTTTGCACCTCAACTCATCCACGAAATCCTCACCCTCACGCCATAAAAACAATGCAAAAAACCCCACCATTCAGCCCATTATTTCACAAGAGACAGCTGGCTTCCAAGGACAGGAAGCCTTCAGTACTTCCCAACATCTTTTCCCATCAGATACCTGTATGGGCCAGAAGCAATTCATTTGAGCAGTGACAAAACTATCCACCATCTTACCTAAACAACCAAGAGGCTCTTCCACAGGAAGGCCAAAAATCCCAGCCTTTTGGGTATTTTATAGTGCTGCAGACTATCTCTTTCTGTGCAGAGGGAGTGGGGGACCTCATTCATAAATGGGTGTAGTCAGAGTTAGTTTTCCAGGCAAGTTTATTCCAAGTTTGGTTCTCCATAAGCTAACTGAAAGAATAACAATCTCAGTTTGAAAAAAATTTAAAATCTTTTCAACAGCGAAAAATATTTCCATAAGCAACACACAATCATTGTGCAAACCAGAGCGTTAGCCGAGAAACAAGTAAGCCTTTGGACAACCAGACACACATTGCATGCCATGGGATTTCAGAAATGGGTTTGTGCCACCCAGCCTCCAGTATCAAAGCTCTGAGCTGGCTGCATGCTACAGCTGTATGGGCACCAGCTCTGTGCAAGGGAACCAAGTCTGGCAGGAGGACAGTAATACACCAACAGCAGCACTGTTTTGGAGACAGGGAGTGCTTGTGCATAGCCCTGCCTTGCAGACCCAGCCTGCCACGGCAGAGCTTGTCCTTTCCAGGAGGAACCAGTCCCTGCGGTCCCTTTGATGTCAGCGACCTTTTTCAGCTGAATCAGGACTACTCACAGTAGCAGAGTTTTGTGGGATCGTGCTCCTTATGGCCATTCCTCGTGGAAACATTTCCCACGTCTCTCAGAAGTCCTTCAGGTCCCAGCCGGCTGGCCTGAGTGTGCCTCTACCAGATGAGAGGGATAACGGGCCAAGGGCAACTCTGCAGCCTGACGATTGCCTAGGCCCCATTTTCTGGCTGCTGTGTTTCAGAAAGACTGAAAAGAGAGAATCCCTGTCTTTCTAGGGGTAGATGAGCAGCTCATCAGTGCAAGCTGTAGGGAATATTGGCCCTAGCAGGGAGCTCGAGCTCCTTTTCCTTTATCAGAGAGTCCCATGTTGCCTGGCAATGGCTGAGCTCTTCTCCTGCCTCCTAGATGTGCTGGGTATATGGGGCTGTCCCACATCTCCCTGCTCTCTATAAGGATGAAAGCCTTGATCTCCACCTTACAGAGACAGATAAACCCAGAGGGACAGAGGTAGTCAAGGGGGACCTGGGCTGGCACTCAGCTTGGTTCCTCTTCAAAGCCTGTGGCTGTTACACCAAACACTTCTGAAGTATCTTTCATTTCTTAGTCTAAGTCTCTGTCCCTGCATGTGCTCTCTCTCATCTCCTTACCAACTTTCTTCAACTCTTTTGCAGATGAAGAAACAGGGAATAAAAGGATACAGTAACACTGGATTCAGACATGGGATATGATGCAATGACATGCTACAGAGAAGGGTCCTGAATGTCTGCAAAATTACTGTATTCAGGATTCTGGCGTAAACTGTTATAGACATAAATGGTAAGTGCTGGAAAAACCTTCAAGAAATACTCAGCATGGTCTCCTATTCTGTTGCTGATCCTGAAAGAGAACAAAACCAAAATGGATTTTTAAAGCTTGCCCAAGTAGTCAAGTGTCCAGGATGCTCTGGTTCCTCCCTTGCAGAGAAAAAGCCATTCTAGAGGCTTTCTGATAACATGGAAAGGTTTCCTAAGAAATCCTTAAGCTGCAACTTTTCTATACCTTCCATAAGTTTCTTAATCCATTTTTTCACTATTCCTCCAGCACCTCCATCTGTCTAATCCCACCTGCATCTTCACTGAAGAGCAGTGCTGGCCACCAGCCTCAGTGAAACCATCACTAGGAGCTAACACCACTTCTAACCTCACATGTAAGCGCCCACGACTATAGAGGGTTGGAGACTGGCAGCTCTTTAGGAGTCAAGGCCTCCTAACAGGATCTTCTAA